AGATATCAGAAAAAAACATTAAAGGTGCACGCTTATAATTTCTTCTATCAAACCGAAGAAAAAGATCACTCCAGCAATGCATACAAGCTTCCTCATAAGCCAGCCGGTGCATTCTCTACATATTTCTTATGTTCATCTGCAACTTGCTTTTTTTTATGATCTACTGCTCTTGATGTTGTGGTTGCTCCAAGGTTTGCCATTGTATTTAGACCTTCATTACTTGTACCTACCGAATCTAAATAGAATGCAAGGTCAAACTTAAAAGAGTTAATTTTTGTATTATTTAATGAAGCAAGAAGATAACATATGAACACCATTAATCTCTTCATACGGTCCATTGTTTGTTCATTACGTTCAAATGGCCGAGCTGCTAAATAGAGTTGGTCAAAAAACCCCCTCAAGCTTGGTTCTATTTCTTGGAGCAATCTTCGCATTTCATCAAATTCGTATATAGGACCTTCTTTATTATTATATTCTCTATTCTCTTTCATAAAAGATTTTAGCAATCATCTTGATGGCTCTAGTGAAATCAATCTTTTCACTTACCTCTTCCTGTAGTTTTTACTTGCCTAGATCCCCTTTTTAAAGGATTTTCTACGAAATTCATGTAACAAATGTTACATAAAACAACACCTTCTGTCCATGTTACCTTCGCTAAGTTGTTGTTCTCAGCTTCTTTCCATTTATTGCCTTTCAGTTGACGAAATTTAGCTGATTTAATGGTTTTACATTTTGTGCAACGTTTAATTTCAGACATTTTTTCTTCGAGTAAATCGTATTATGAAAGTTGTGGGATTCAAAGGGATTCAAAAGATATGATAACAACAAAGTGTAAAGCTTCAAATTTGTGTAATTATTTGCACATGATTTATTGTAAGAATGGGCTACGTAATACCCTTGTAAAAGTATTTTAAACTGTATAAAAAAAATTGAAATCAATTGTGAAAATCCATTCCTTATATAGGACGTTCCCTCCTGTTCATTAATATAACAACTTCCTTTTTCTTCACAACATATTGATACATTGATAACAACAATTTAACACAGCAGTATCAACCATCTAATCAACCTCAACCAAAGAAAGCTAGAAAAACACAAACTGGTGGTTTTAATATCAAAGTTTTCAATAAAATAATTTATTTTAACAGAATATACATATATAAATAAAATTTCTAACCTTTGTCTACAGTTCACTCTCTCTATAACAAACACTAAATAAAATAATTACATAGGGACT